GCATACCAATGATCAGGAAGATGGCATCAGACCAGACAATTCTTTGTTCCATTGTACACAGGATCACAATAAATCAGAGCTAACTTGATGGCAACTAACAAAAACAACAAGCTGGACCTAAATATTGTGAATCAGGAAGCCCACCAAAAGAAGCACAGCATACCTAGGATAAAGCTCAAGATGTTATATAAACAGAGCATTGCCGCCAGCCTCACCTAAACTGGAGTTGCCTTAGCTAATTGTCCCAGGGAGCACAAACAGGCATGTAAGGAAGGCATACAAGGAAAACTTCCCTCTTTTCCTCGATACTCATAAGGGCACATTGATATCACCATCCTGGGTATGGAAGAATAAAGAAGTGACTGTTGTCTAACTTCCCAATATTGAAAACTACTATGGTCACTTGAAAAAATCTTTTGTCAGTACAAAACCAATACTTTATACAAATTCTGAAATTGTATAAAATTTTATGCTCAATCCAACATTATTAGTACTGTGTATGGACCACAGTAGGACCATCTGGCAGGCATATTATTTGGGACACAAATCTTAGCCTGTGTTTAAAAAAAAGAAGAAGAAGCATTACATAAAATGCAGAGTTAGCTGTTAGCCAGGGCTCAAAATGAAAACATATGCATGAGTCATTCAGAACATACAAATAAATAAAAATGGAAAGGTAAGCAATGGTCTTTCTTCCTCACTGTTACTAGACCTTTGAAATAAGCCCAGGAAATGTATGCAGGTGGTTTTTTGATTAATTTGATAGAGGTATATCCATGGAACCAATTTACAAGTGATTTGCAGGCAGGCTGGCATTACTGAAATAAACGGTGCTATTACTATGATTTATGCTACTATTCCTAACACAAATGATAAAGTGAAATTTACAGGCCTTAATTACCACCATGAAAAATTGGGAGGGAGAGAAAAGAGCAAAGATTGGCAATTTGCAAACTTGTCAGTAACACAGGATGAAAAATCCATTTGCTTTATTTAAAAAAAAGAGAGAGAGAGAGAGATTGCACAAACAGGCCTAAACATATTGTTATCAATCCACGGGTGGAAGAGAGGAAGTTCAAAAATAAATGACCATAACTTAACCTTGAGATGCCAGGAAGCATGGTTTAGGAAAGAAGCTGACAAACTGTAGCCTCCAATTGTAAAATGCAGTGAGGTGACACAATACAACACTGCATATTACACTGGGCCACTCACAAGACCCAATTTGCTCTTGAATCACTTCCTATTATTTTCGTTATATGTTTTATAGCAGAAAAAAAAAAGAAAATTAAATCTTGAAAAGTAAGGAGGCAAGAATGCTTAGGCAAGAAAGACACAGAGAAAGGATAAGCACAGGGAGGAAATGGGAGGAGAGCTGTTACACTATATGGATTGCAATCTGTGTCACAAAAGAAAAAGAAAAATCTTGTCTGTAATTTTTAACTACAATCTTTCTTCATGTCCCATTCATATTGAGATACTACTGAAAGTCTCTCATGATATTCAAAGATGGTTTTAGAGATATTATTTTCCATAGAATGCTAGCTAAGCTATACAGAGAACTTAATATGAAAGAGCTCAACTATTGCAGTTGTCAATAGATTAAGGATAATATGAATGCCCCATTAGCTGGCCCCATTGACCATTTCCTCTCTTCATCTTCCATCACTTCCTACTTTAGCTGTCTAGTCATGCTTAATTTCTAACACCCAGTCCCTTTTACCAGACCAGGGAAAGCCTGGGATTCCAACAGGCATTCTAATCAAGACTTGCAAAGTTTTATTCAATCTATGGTAACTATATATAGGGGTCATTTACATTCTTTGCAGACTGGTTCATAGTAAAACCAGGAAATGTTAAGAGACACGGCAGATGATTGGATATGAAGGGCAAGGAAGATGGAAAAATAAAAAATAACACAAGTTTCTCATTTGCCTGATTTAGAAAACAATAGTGCAATTTTAGAAATATGGAAGACAGACCCAAAAGCTGGAAATTGTTAAGTTTGCTTTTAGAAATATTTTGAGTTACTGGCAGGACATCCAGATATATACATTCAGTAGATATTATGAGGAATCTTGGACTAAAGCTCAGGAGTATGCTTGGGCCGAGAAGTGTTGGTTTTGGGAGAAATCTGAATAGAAATGAAGGCTGAAGGCTTAGGAGAGAATTAGATGATCATGATGGAGAATGTAAAGACAAAAGATCTGAGAGTAAAAACAAAGAGAAGATATATTTAGAAGAACAAGAGGAGAAAAGAATGGGACCAAAATGGAATAGTAAGAGGAGACCCAGGAGAACAAAAAAACAAAAAATCTCATTATAGACAATTTAAAAATAGGGAGTTTAGCCCTGCCTACACTGTCTACACATAGAACCTACACTGCAGGTTCTCCTATGTGTTTCTCTTTGCTGGGAGAAGCTGGAGCTGGGAGATAATTCCTTAGCCTTCGTAACAAAATGGCATCATTGCCATTTCTACACTTGATGTCTAAACAATTTCTAATTGCCTGTCATCCATTTTCTGACAGAAACTCAGCTGACGAGATATTGAAATAAGTCACTTTAGTGACATCAGGATCCCTGGGGAGCTTGTTAGTAGTACAAGATCTCAGGCACTACCCTAGATCTATTTATCAGAATCTGCATTATAACAAGATCCCCGATGATTTGTTTACATATTAAAGTTTGAGAAAGATTGGTCTGAGAGATTGATAGCATATATTGAGCATAGATTTAAGGTTAAAACTGACATACATAGACAGCATGGGCCTAGCTCCCGAGAACAGTAAGAAACCAGTAAGAAAGAGGTTAGGAAATATTCCCAGGTGGTACAAACAGTTTGTGTTACAGTACTAACCCAGGTTGGTGGTTAGAAACACACCAGGAGCACTGTTAAAGGAATGTCTGGCAGTCTGCTTCCATAAAGATTAAACTTGTTGTCATTGAGTTGATTCTGACTCATGGTAACCCCATGTGTTACAGAGTACAACTGAGCTCCATTGGGTTTTCTTGGCCACAGCCTTTACAGAAGCAGATCATCAAGGTTTTCTTCTGCAGTGCCACTTGTTAGATTCTAACTGCCAACCTTTAGGTCAGGAGTTGAGTGCAAACCATTTGTCTCACCCAGAAACTTCCATAAAGGCTACAGCCAATAAAATCTTTAGGAGCAATCCTACTGTGCAACACATGGGGTCATAATGAGTCAGAATCAATTGAACAGCAACTGGTTTGGTATAAGTTAGGAATGTGCTAAGTGTTTTACATGCACTAACTCACCCACTCCTCCTAGAAGCCCTAGGATAGCTGATCCCTATTTTACAATAAGGAACGCAAAGCTCAAAGAGGCCTGAGGCCACGTATGTAGTTAATAAATGGTGGATTCAATAATTGTACCCACATCTCCTAAACTCAAATGCTCAGTCCTAAAGTCACTGTGCTCTATGACCTTCTCAGCTATCAATTGTTTGCCTCTTAATTTTGTTGGAGACAACATATCTTTTCCTATTTTATAAAACTGTAATTAAAAACTTAATGGTCTAAACATTGTGTTCATGATATTTTATTCATCTTAATTTTAGGCCTAAGGAAAAAGTTTGTCAGAAGAAGTATATCAAAGTTGAAACCAGATGGAGGAAAGGTAAATTGCTGGAGCTCTGGTGGTGTAGTGCCTAAGGCACTTGACTGCTAACCAGAAGGCTGGTGGTTCAAACCCACCAGCCACTCCTCGGAAGGAAAGCAGGCAATCTACTTGCGTAGTGATACCGCCTCGGAAACCCAAGGAGGAGTTGCTATGAGTTGAATCTGACTCCACAAGAGTGTAATTGGTTTGGTTTTGCTTTTAGCACAGTAGAAATACTGAAACTTAAGTATGTGAGCATGTGATGGAGGAAACAATGAAAAGCTCAGGCTTTACAAAGACAACAGGCAATTTGAAATGCAAGTATGCAGCTAGAGGTTGAATCCAGAATGTTGACTGAAAGTCTATACAAAGAGTGCTTAGAACCCCAATCTCATTTGTAAACTCAAGCAGCCAGAGGTGCATATGAAACCCACCAGGAGATCAGAGGTTTATTCTTCAAAGAAATTAAACCGGTGAGGCCCTTAACTCAGTGACATCAGGTAGGAAGGGCATTGGACTTCAAAAAATGGGCTGAACATGAAGGGATTAAATCTGCATTTAAAAACCCAAACCTATTGCCATCTAGTCCATTCCACTTCATAGAGACTCTATAGGACACAGTAGACCTGCCCAATAGGGTTTCCAAGGCTATAATCTTTGTAGAAACAGACTGGCACATCTTTCTCCCCTGAGCAGCTGGTGGGCTCAAACCCCCGAACTTTTGGCTGAGTGCTTCATCACTGTGCCTCCAGGGCTCAAATCTGCATACTGAATGATAAGAACCCTGACCCACTTGTTCTGCTTATAATCCTGAAGATAATTATCCAGAAAGGAAACTAAAGCATTCTTCTTTAAAAAAAAAAAAAAAAAAAAAAAACTACAATGGCACCAAAGAATACACTTACAGAGACAGACCATTAGGGGCAGGATCTCCTAATAAAATGTCTATGCACTTAGAAGTTCCAATGTCATAATAGATAGTCAAGAATTGCCAGGTATTTGAAGAAAGCCTATAACGTACATGATAGGAAAGAACAAGCAGAGAAACAGAACCCAGAGAAAATGGAGCAATAGAGGTATCAGAAGATACTGCGTGTAAAACAAATCTTATTAATGAACTATCTATAAATTATCCAAACCAATTGTTCATTAAAAAAAAAAAAAAAAAGATTGCCTAATGCAAACCAAGCCTACTCAAGTTGTTTAACTCTTATTTTGCTTCCTTTCTCCATAATTTTGGAAATGAAGTATGGTTTTTAAACACTAGAGATGCATAAGTATTCAAATTTCCAAAAACATTTAAACCTACATTTTAAAACACATCTAGTCATTATAAAACAAAGGTCAAATCTATTCAGTAAAGGTATGTATTACTTACTACCAATGCATCACCGTCGCACAGCAGAAGCACTAGATGCTGCCCATGCCTATCCGAGTAAAGGGAAAATCATAATGAAAGAGTTAAAATTAGGCAGATAACTCAGGCATTTACAAATTAAATTGTCATCAGATGTAAATATATAGATAATAGATATAATCTTGTTCATGATTTTCCAGTACCTCATTCTTGGAAAACAATAGGGTATTTAACTGATTGAAGGTAAAAATGAGTCATGGTGGGACACAGAATATGTACTTTTACATATTAAAAGAAAGTGATTTGTCTTTTTTCCATTTTGTGTAGATTATATTCATCACTTCAATTTTTAAAAAACCTACTACTAAAAATATGTTTAAATAACCTCTATAAATCTAAATTTTCAGCCCTATTTCTATTAAAAGAAGAAGTAATTACCAGATAAAATAAAATCAATTTCAGAACCATCTGTTTGGATTCATGATGATAATGTTCAACACACTGTACATAATACACTGAAGTATTCTGCTCACAACATCATCAAAGAGATGGCAATGTACCAACATCTTTCCAACTCACAATCAATTTACCGCCTTCACACAAGAGATGTATGCATTTCAGCCAAAGTCTGCATTAGTATATATTTATCCAGTGTCATATTTACAAGGTCAGTAATCAATTGCCTCATCAGAAAAGTTACAGACTGAATATCTTAGAGGTTTCTTTTAAGAATTAAGATTCTCACCAATAAAATTTTTAAAAGAACAAAAATTTAAAGTAGTATTCAAAGTTCATACCATAAGCAAATTAAATTGCAGAATCTTAATATTTTCTTAAAATGTTTTATTATTTATCATCCTTAATTTATTTACAATAATCAACAAAAAAAGTAATAATTAGTAGTTTGAATTCAAATTTTTAATTTTTTCCTGTGACTTTTGAGTTTAGATTGCTTTAGTATTTTCTAAATATAGCATTACTGCATTACTATCTAGGAGATCTGGTAGCATAGGGCCTAAGGCACTTGACTGCTAACCAGAAGGCTGGCTGTTCAAACCCACCAGCAACTCCTTGATACTGCCTTGGAAACCCAAGGAGGGACCGCTATACATCGGGTCTAACTCCACAGCACATAACAAAAACAACAACAGCATCACTATCTATTTTTCCCTGCTACTTTTTAATAATAGAGAACATTGAGTTTTAGCTTGCATATATCAGCCTGGCTAAGGGTATATTTTCCAGCATCCCTTGCAGCTAGATGTGGCCCTGTGATTAGGTTTTGGCCAGATTTGCCACAAAGTTGAACAACAAAACTTGTTTTTGTTCATCTACATGGCAAATCTAGAAATAATACCTAGCAAATATATAAAAATAAATTTCAATTAAATATAGGAAAATTCTTTCCAACTGTGGCATTCTTTAGAAGATACTGAGCTTCCAACACTAGATTTTCTTTCCAAACAAAGGTTGTATAATCTGCTTTGCCAACAAGATATGAAGAGAGATTTGTGACTGAATAAATGTTTAGAATAAACGGTCTTTAAAGTCTCTTCTGGCACTAATATTTTAAGATTCTATGCTTGTTAGGTAAAGAAAAATTGGGAGGAAGGAGAAAAAACAGGAAGCAGACAAAAGGGCAGAAGGGAATCAGGTAAAAGAGAGGCATAAAGAAAAGATATTTTATAGAACTAATTTATAACCAGCCACTCCATGGAAGAAAAGACATAGTGATCTGCTCCGTAAAGATCACAGCTTAGGAAACCCTATGAGGAAGTTCTACTCTGTTACACAGGGTCACTATGAGTCAGAATTGACTCAACGGCACACAACAACAACAACAATTCATAACCAAGATAGAGAGTACTGGAATATCTTTGTTACTATAAAATAATAATTTGTTTTAATTATAATATCTTATACAGTACAAAGTCTCATATGGCCCTATCCTTTAAAAGCAAAAGCAAAAATAATATTTTTCAAATAAAGTATATTTTATATTCAGAGTATAGAAATAAAATTATGTCTCATGCTTTCAAAATGAATTTAATTGGAATTGAAAATTTCTTTCACTCACCACTTACAGTAGCAGTCCTTGGTTGGTTCATGTTACAGCTACAGGGTAATTTACTTTCTCAATTTGTAAGACAATGTCTGTTGACTTTTGCCATACTTGTATTTATGTCTGCCCTAGATTTTGTCATTTAGAAATAGCTAATGGCTCCCTCCAATTTTTTCATATGTTTAATTAGAGCAAATAATAACTGTCTCACACTCATTTTTCCATCATCTCCAGTACCTAATTCAGTGTCATTGTTATAAGTGAAGCTCAGAAACACTTTTATTCAACAAGCATTATTGAGCCCCCTACTCAATACCTGATGATACCTTGGGCAATGGAAACAATACAGTGCAGTGGTTAAATTTGTGGGCTTCCAGGACAGGTGAATCTATTTCAGTACCTTTTGTATAGAAAACCCAGTGGATGATGTCCTGAACAGAGCTGAATTGACCACTTTAAAGTTTAAAGTTTAAAACAAAGGCTTTGGAGCTCAGAAATCACCTCATTAAGAAATTCTCTTCTAAATTTTTCTTGTCTTTTGACTCACAGACAAAGCATATAAAGCATAAGTGATCTATGTGTGTGTGTGTTATTTATTTCTTCAAATTGAATTGAGGTCATAAATATCCTTAAAAATAGGGTCATAAGTATCCTTTACAAATATTGGATATCGTAAATACACTAAAAGCTCTCTTTTGATCTCCAAATTTTATGAAAACACGCCAGTCATGATGAACTTAATCAGGAAATGAGCCAGCCTTCAGGTAATTTCATAATCTCAATCGTGTGATTTTGAATTTAAGAGAAAACCCATAGTCTACCTACTTTAATGCTTCCAACTTTGCATAATGTCAATATTAAAAGAGGGTGGGGCCCATGCATATTCTGCAAACCAAATAGAATACTTGAGAATTTTTTTAAAAAGTTTTTGGAAAACTAGCTTAAAGCAGCAAACAACTTTTTAATATACATTAAAAGAGAACTTACGGGCAAAGTTCCACCTCGAGGTACTGTTTAGTCAGACTGTTCAAAAAAAACGATTCAACAACTGCAAATAAAATGTAAGCATCATATTAATAAATTTAATTCACAAAGAGTCAAGGAAATAAACATTTGTAAAGGGTCACCCTCTGAGGTAGGCAGTACCTTATAAAACAAGTTTTATATTGAATATTACTACAAACTACTTTAACCAACAGAGCCATACCTCAGAGATTGTGAATTTGGTTCGAGACCACTGCAATAAAGTGAATATTGCAATAAAGTGAGTCACACAAACTTTTTGGTTTCCCAGTGCATAGAAATGTTATGTTTACACTCTACTGTAGTTTCTTAAGTGTGCAATACCTTTATGAAAAAGTTCAAAATATCGTGAGAATTATCAAAATATGACACATAGACACAAAGTGAGCACATTCTACTGGGAAAATGACACCAATAGACTTGCTTGATGGAGGGTTACCATAAACTAATTTGTAAAAAATGCAATATCTGAAAAGCGTAATAAAACAAGGTATGTCTTGTACAATAAAACAACCTAGTGGCTGAGAAAGCAACTTATCTGTTGTCCATCTACAGTATTCTGTTCCACTTATTTCCCAAACTGATTTTCTAGAAACATTAATTCCACTGAATTTCTGTAGGTAGTAGGCAGTAAATGTGGAAAGCAGTTTAGAAAAATTGTTAAGAGTGAGGGCTCTAGGTTTAAACAAGTTTAGTTCAAATCATGGCTATACTACTTACTATATGATCTTGATCAAATTCTTTAACTGAAAAGTATGTGTCAGTTTCCTAATCTGTAAAATAGAGATGAAAACAGTACCTACCTCATAGGATTAATGTATAACACATTTAAAACAGTCTCTGGAACATAGTAAGCACTCAATAAATAGCAGTTACTGTTGTTATTAGTATTAACATTACTGATGTGTAAAAAGAAAAAGGTACAATGGTCAAACCTATTTGGGATGTGTTGGGTTAATAATAAAGTTAAATAGATTCCTCTTCTGAAGGATTTTGGAATTATTAATATGTTAATGGACCACCAGCTCTATCTCAGTTTGTCATACTGTGGTGGCTTGCTGTGAGATTGGAGGCTATACCACCGGTATTTCAAATATCACTAGGGTCACCTATGTGGACAGATTTCAGTGGAGCTTCCAGACTAACACAGACTGGGAAGAAGACCAGGGCCATTCATTCTAAGGAATGCTCCTTATATATGAGAATGGCCAGACTACTCAACTACTTTCAACTACTTTGGTCATGCTGCCAGAGGGACTAGTCCCTGGAGAAGGATATCGTGCTTGGTAAAGTAGAGGGTCAGCAAAAAAGGGGAAGATCCTCAATGAGATGGATTGATATAGTGGCTGCAACAATGGGCTCAACCATAGCAAGGATTGTGAGGATGGCCAGGACCAGGCAATGTTTTATTCTGTTGTCCATAGGATTGCTATGAATTGGAGATGACTCAATGGCACCTAACAACAACATATTAATATTTATAGTGTCTCTCTAAGGGACAAATAGATTTTGCAGTGCTTTCCAAACTTATTTCAGTGTGGTGCTCTTTCGTTTCACAGCATATTTTGCAAAACTAATGTCAATAAACAGACTTGAAGAATAGTGATAAATAAAAATTATATTTCAATAATTTCAGAAGGCTTCTCAGAGGAGGTCAGTGTTCTCAAAAATGGCAGATGTAGGTAGGCAGGAAAAATTATATGTGTTCAGAGGTTCAAACAATTTAAATAAAAATAAGCAGAACTTCTCAGTTAGGGAAGATGTTTCTGGAAGGACAGTAATTGAATACATGTTGGAAAGCAGCCAATTAAAAACATTGAATATCAGTCTAACAACTTTGAGCTTAACCTTGCAGGCAAAATGGAGTGACATCATCAAAGTGATGCTTCAGGACAACCAGCCAGGTCATTGTGTGTGAGACAGACAGGATCAAGGAGACACTGGCAGCAGGAACACCGTTTGAAAGCATATCATAATAGTCTAGACAGTACTCAGGCAGTAGTACTAAGAACAGAAATAAAGGGAGAAATTCAAGGGACATTCCCCAAAGAAGAAGCAACAGGAGTTGATAATTGTTTGGCAAAAAGATAAGGAAAGAATCAATGATGAGATCATGATCACAAAGCTGGTAACTTGGAGATAAAACTTAACAAAAACTGAAAAGTCAGAAATAGAAGTTATTATGTAGAATGTTCAGATTTAGATTTGAAATTTAGTTTGAAGTCAAGAAAGAATAGTCAGGTTTTCATATCCACAAGGAAGTTGTAAATATTGTTTCATGAGAGATTACAGAAAAAAAGAATTCCTACTGATTAAATTCTAATAGCTTAAGAAGTAAACTTTTTTAACAAAATAATAGCGTATATTAGAAGACTCTGGATTTGAAGTCAATATTTGTAGATAAAGTTATAGATAAGGGTATGTAAGGCCACTAGACAACTGGATCCCTCACAGAACTATGTAAGCTGATTTCCAATATACTAAGATTCTGTGAAAAGTCACTCTATTTCCCTATTCAATGAAATTCATAAATTACAAAAATATCTGAAGGTAAAATCTTTCTTCAAAATATATAGCTAATTTTTTTAGAAATAAGTATTAGAAACTGCTGTGAAATGAAAAAGGGTCCAATTTTAATTAGCAGTTTCTAGAACCTAGAGAATATTCTTAATTTAAATTCAATGATGCATGCTTTGTGTATACCACTCAACACCTGAGATAAAACAAATTTGTATATTGATTACTTGGACTAATATTTCAATATGAATTTCTGATTAATACTATCATTTATTTTTTTTTAAGGGTCTAACAAATATAAACTCTTCAAACTACTTAAAAGTTTTCAGAATTTAAATTTCAGGTCACATGATTTTGAACGCAGGTTTCTATGACATTCAATTTTCTGATACTCACGTACCTAGAAATTCTGAGCAGTTTAATACATATTGTAAGAAATCACTGGCATAGACCATAATGTATATACTTCATTCCTTTCAGCTCTGGCACTCACAATAGGATATTTCTCACCTTCATACTCCCAGAGTCCATTAAAAGCTTGTCCTGGTGCCCCTGGTGGTGCTGGAGGATCATTAAAGAAAGGAGCATACACTTTCATCACTAAGCCTTGAACCGTAGGCTTAAATTTGAGAGATACAGGTGTATGAATCACTGGCATACTGTTCCATGTGTTGGTAATTCTGTATTCCAACTATTAAAATGAACAGAGGAGAAAATGATATAAGTAAAACAATGTTTCTCTTGCTCTCCTGGTCTTGATCAAATCAAGCTCATATTACATTTCTCACTAATATCCCCTAGAAAATAAGCACTCCATTAGACTCTAAGAAATTCTGTTAACTGCTGTAACACATTTTTATGTAATAATCACTCCAGTAAAATTTGTACACAATATATTTTGAGGAATTGTTTTATGTGACTTAACACACGAAATACTTTATTTATGTACTATTTATAATGTTTAATTATGTGAGTTTATTTTTATTTATTTTACAAATAATTTTTGAGAACATACTATGTGTGTAGCATCTCACTAGGTCCTGCACAGGAGATTCAAAACAAGTAGAGGAGATAATCTATGCCCTAAAAGAACGTATCTTTATAATTAGAAAGAGAAACAAAATGCACATCTACAACTAATGAACAGTTCAATGAAGCATAAATTAAGAACCTAATTGGAAAAGACAGAAAAGGAGAAGAAACATGCATGTAAATATGGGATGTAGTATTCAGGAATGCCTCGTGGGACTTGAGCTCCACAAGAAAGAAAAATACATATGTTGAATATAACTATTTCATGGATATTTATTTTACCTACTTTAATTTCAAGATTTTTGAGAGCTAAAAGTAATGACTTATCAATTAGTTGGCATTTATTGTTCACATTTCATGCTAGATGTACCTCTATGCATTCCTCCAAAATGTACTAGAATGTTGTTCATATGTCAGTATTCCTTAAATGCTTATTAAGTGCTAATCAATGAATACAATAAATTTATCATGTAATCACTATCTGCCATGTTGGGAATACAAAACCAAGACACTTTCCTTTCCCTCAGGCGATTAACAATCTACTGGAAATACAGAACTGTTGACAACGTGTGAAAAAACAGTGCAAGAAGTGCTTTAACAGAAGTATATATGCACAGAGCAGGGGCCCTCTAGTTGGGATAGTGGAAACTGGAAGAGTGGAGAGGTCAGGCACAACTTCACAGAAGTTGCAATTGAGCTGGACTTTAACAGATGTATAGGAACAGAAAAGGAAAGGAAAGTATATTCCAAATAAAGGAAATAACATGAACAAAACACAGAGACACATGAAAACTGAAGGAAGATTTAATAATAAATAAAACAAAAGTGCATGTCTGTGTGGCTGGGGTGGGGAACGGTGGGAAATGGAAAAAGAAATGACACTGGAGCAAGGGGCACAGATCATCTGAGAGCCATATGGGAATATTGAAGGAGTTTTAACCAGGGAATTAAAATGGCAAGGTTTATGTTTAAAAAACTACTCTGGCAGATGTACACCAAAATCAAACCCACTATGGAGTTAATTTCAACTCCTAGAGACACCCATTGGGCTTCCAAGGCTGTAAATCTTTATGGGAGCAGACTGATTCATCTTTCTCCCAAGAAGCAGCTGGTGGGTTCAAACCTTTTGGTTAGTAGCTCAATGCCTTAACTATAGTGCCACCAGAGGTCCTTCTGGCAGATGTACCCAAAACCAAACCCACTGTCTTCAAGTCAATTCCAACTCATAGCAACCCCCATTGGGTTTCCAAGGCAATAAATCTCTATCGAAGTAGAATGCCCCATCCTCCTTCCACAGAATGGCTAGGTGGGTTTGAACTGCCAATCTTCTGGTTAGCAGTCAGATGCCATAGGCCACCAGAGCTCCTGGCAGATGTATGTTGTTGTTGTTGTTGTTGTTGTTATGTGCCGTCGAGTCAAACCCGACTCAGAGCGACCCCTCCTTGGGTTTCCGAGGCAGTATCACTACGGAAGTAGGATTGCCCAACCTTGTGGAACAAAAATACTCTAAGAAGTTTGAGGTCTTATTTACAATGTATTCTCCATCCCAATTTACCTTAACTACACTGGTAAGCTTTTATTTTCAAAGTGATAGTCTTCATTTCAAATAATTCTTAGGAAAGTTCTGTAAGAGAAAAGAATCTTGAAGCGTAGAATTGAACTCAATTCAACAACAGTGCAACTCTTTACTCCTTCTGTAAGACATTAACACCTCTTGAATGTTCTAGATAAAATAATGTCTTCTCAATTATCCATTTCTCATTGTATAAAGAAAATTAACCAAAGTAATTCTGACTGAAAGAAAAGCAAAATTTGAAGCAAAGAAAAAATTACTATAAGCATTAAAGGGTATACGTTTAAACAGACATTTAGAACACTATGCCATCATAAAGGCAAAAGCAATTAATCTGCACAAAAGATTAAAACTCCACATATTCAATGGTATGATTGTTCTTTTGCTTCTAAGTATCCTCAAATTATGTCTAGTTCTGAGATACTTTTGCTTAGAAAAAGAGTTGGGACAATTTTTTAAGTGCTTTATGTTAAGTTTTCTCTCTTTTTCCTTTTCCTTTCCTTCTCTCCCATTCTTTTTTTTTTTTTTTTTTTTTTTTTTTTTCTCTCTCTCTCTCCCCTCACTCCTTTCTCTCTGCCTATTTTTTCTAAATGGACTGTCCACAACTTGTCTGTCAGTTTGTCATACTGTGGTGGCTTGCATGGTGCTATGATGCTGGAAGTTATGCCACCAGAATTTCAAATACTAGCAGGGTCACCCATGGTGGACAGGTTTCAGTAGAGCTTCCAGACTAAGACAGACTGAGAGGAAGGACAGTGCCGTCCACTTCTGAAAAAGAAATGGTCAATAAACCCTTATGAACAGCAGTGAAAAACTGTCTGATATATTTCTAGAAAACTTTATGAATAATAGTGAAACATTGTCTGATATAGTGTGGGAAGATGAGCCCCTCAGGTTGAAATACAACTCAAAACAGGATGAAGTAGAGCTGCCTCCTTAAAGTGGAATAGACTTTAATGACATGGATGCAGAAATACCTTCAGGACTTTCATTTGTTGATGTGGCACAACTCAAAATGAGAAGAAACAGCTTTAAACATTCATTAATAATTAGAACATGAATCTAGAAAAATTGGAAGTTGTCAAAAATTAAATGGAATGCATAAAGATTAATATCCTACGGATATTGTTGCTTGTGCCATATGGATCTTGGCTGAAAGCAAAGAATACCAGAAAGATGTTTACCAGTATTTTATTGACTATGCAAAGGCATCCTACTGTGTGGATCTTAACAAATTATGGATAACATTGAAAAGAATGGGAATCCCAGAAAACCTACTTGTCCTCAGGGGGAACCTGTACATAGACCAAGAGGCAGTCACTGGAAAAGAATAAGGGGATGTTGAACGGTTTAAATCAGGAGAGATGTGTGTTAGTGTTGTATCCTTTAATATACTTAATCAACCTGTATGCTGAGCAAATAATGGTAGAAGCTGGACTATATGTGAGGAAGAATGTGACATCAGAATTGGAGGAAGACTCATAATAACCTGTGATGTGCAGATGACCCAACCTTGCTAGCTGAAAGTGAAGGTGACTTGAAGTACTTACTGATGAAGATCAAAAGCTACAGCCTTCAGTATGGATTACAACTCAACACAAAGAAAACAAAAATCCTCACACCGTACCAATAAGCAATATCACGATAAAGAGAGAAAAGACTGAAATTGTCAGGGATTTGATTTTACTTGGATCCACAATCAGTGTCCTTGAAAGCAGCAGTTAAGAAATCAGATGACTGGACAAATTTGCTGCAAAAACCTCTTTTAGGTGTCCAAGAGCAAAGATGTCACTTTGAGACCAACATGTGCCTGACCGAAGCCATGGTATCTTCAATAGCCTCAGATGTACGTGAAAGCTAGACAATGAATAAGGAAGACTAAAGAAGAATTGATGTATTTGAATCGTAGTGTTCGCAAAGAATACTGAAAATACCATGGACTGTCAGAAGAATTAACAAATCCGTCTTGGAAGAAGTGCAGCCAGGAATGCTTCTTAGAAGGGAGAATAGCCAGAGGAGCTCTGGTAGTATAGTGGCTAAGGCACTTGACTACTAACCAGAAGGCTGGCGGTTCAAACCCACCAGCCACTCCTCGGAAGGAAGATGGGGCAATCTATTTCCGTAGTGATACTGCCTCGGAAACCCAAGGAGGGGTCGCTATAAGTCGGGTCCAACTTGACGGCACATAACAACAACAACAACAACTTACTTACTTTGGTCATGTTGTCAGAAGGAACCATTCCCTGGAGAAGGATATTATGCTTGGTAAAGGGGAGGGTCAGCAAAAAAGGGGAAGGTCCTCAACAAGATGGATTGATACAATGGCTGCAACAATGGGCTCAAGCATAGCAAAGTTGTGAAGATGGTGCAAGACTAGGCATGTTTTTGTTCTGTTGTGCATAGGGTCACAGTGAGTCAGAGTTGACTCCACGGCACCTAACAACAACAATAGCAATAGACCATGCTCTCTCTACAGGAGAAAGATGTGGCACACTGCTTTTTTAAAGATTTACAACCTTGAAAACCCTGTGGCATAGTTCTGCTCTGTCCAATAGGGTCACTATGAATCAGAATCAACTCAAGGACAATGGGTTTTGTTGGTTTTTCTGTTAGTGTTCTTTCTCATACACCCAAATGGCCAAAGGCATTCCTGTAGTAATTTGAATATTTCAATTAAAATGTCACCTTTCGCAAAATTCTAACTGTAAAAATAATCTTCATTTTAATAGAAAATTTTAGTGTTATGCTATGTAGTATAGAAATATCAAATGCCAACAAGAAAATTTCATTGGTGGTACATATAAAATAAATATTAGTGGACAAGTAGCACATTTTTTTTTAATCTAGTAGACAAATAGTCTCTGGTATTGAACATCTTAAGAGAGATTATCATTTACAAAACACATTTTGAATATAAAGTAAAGTTTTAATGCAAAATAAACCATACACAACATTTTTAGTCACCCTAACACAACAGCTGATGTAATTATGATGTTGACCCCTTTCTGAAACAGCTGATGTTTCTCAAATTCTCAGCTGCTTTCTGCTGAAATTGTGAAATTCCCATTTGATGCTAGAACTCCTTAGAACAGAATTCAACCTAGTAAGATTTTTCTTTCTAATCAGGTTTCCACAGAGAAATACTCTATCATCTATAGTAACAAAGTGGTATATTTTGGCCAAAATGCTATGAGCACTGAAAAGGAAAACTAAAATTCTCTAAACTGGAAGAAATAAAAGTCAATAAAAAAGCAGATAACATTCGTTTCATAGACATGTTTTTCTTCGCTATATGACCTGTTCTTGAAAGTTGTATTTTTTAAATCTCTTCACAGGAAGATCACCAATAATTTTCAAATGATAATAGGAAACCAACCTGCATTGAAGTTAAAGCTGAATTGTATCAGAATTAGGGAATTTTATTTTCTACTTTTTCCACCTGCATATGTAAGGGGAAAATGATATTGAGAATTGAGCAATTATGTGGAGTCAATGAAATCAATGTAAATACACAGTCTGGATAACTAGGCCTGAAACTCCATTCTATATAATTTCTTCAATTATAAGTTTTGAAATTTTTGCCCAGCATTGTTCAAATAATTGCTTTTATTCTTTCCCTTGCCTATGTAGACACAGCCCTAAAAGAAAGTCAATAATTCATATAGACTTCTGTAGCCAATTTTATCTTTCTGATAAATAGACTTGAAGTTATATTTTTTTCACATCTATTACTAAGTTATGATTTTTTTTTGAAAGATTCTAGTTGCAGATAAGCAGAAAAGTGATAAAATCAAATTGTTTCTGATGTCATCTCATTGTAAGCAGATCAGCTTATGTGTTATAAGGAATGCATAGGAAGTGTCAAAAATTAAATTATTGGCTTTATCTGGTGAGATTCAATCATGGCTATCTTTTTATATACATATTAAAATTATGGAAGCTATTATTTGCAATTTAGGAAAATATATATTTAGTTATTTATGCAAAGTTGCTTTGTAGAATAAAAAGGTGAGGCTGCTTATAATCTGAATTTATTCATTTAAAATTGTATACATATATCATATATCCTTTAGGTAACATAGTAATCCTGAGTAATGTGAGTCACACATACATCAATTTAAATAGAATTTAATGCATAGCATTCTTACTCATTAAGATGTAAAATAATATTTAAATTTAAATTTCAACTACACCTTACCTGTAACCAAAGTACAGAACAAAGTGGGAAAACAAAGCTCAATATTGCATATACTGTACTACATACATTTCTAGCAACTAGAATAGTGATGAGCTAGATACAAATGCTCTTATAGGAATAATAAAGAATCTGAATTTGGAAAAGAAAAAGTTGTAAGATCCTCATTGAGTTATACAAAACTATAATACTATAAAACTTGTCTCACTGTAGAACAAGGTGATCTCTAAAATTACAAGGCAGTGAATTCAGGACTATAAAAAGGAAATATTACTGCATAACCTTTAGTTAACCTGTAACTACAGTTCCATAGGAGGTCATAAAATCAAATACTGTGGTTGGATTTAAAAGCTGGATAATTTTATAGCCACGCATAATATCAGGGTTCAAGCTCATTGCCTTCAGCAACTGGAATAGAATTCTTTGCTCATTCACATGAGTGGACTACTAGCTATGAAGGTAGGTGGTACTATATGCTGTCTTAAGGTTAAATATTGGTTATTTGGAGTCATATAACACCATTTACCACCTTAGTCTCCTTCTAAACTTCTAACATGGTTACTAGTGGTGAAGAAGATCAGAGGCATCGGGAATCTGCCTTCATAAGCCATTTTAATTCTAGTTTCTTCATAAAGCCTTGATAACCACAGATGAAAGAGGGACTCCACCACAAAGCCCACCTTCCTCATCCATCCTATATGTGCAAAATATTGCATCTTTATTTTTGCTGTTAATCCATTTTGACCTCATTCAAAAAGTATACATAAACATATATGGCTTACCTCCTGTTTAACTCTCTGTAATGTAAAAATTGTTTACATAAGAATTGTATCTAAATCATCCCTTGATTGTTTCATAGCACTTCAATAAATATTTGTGGCATGAAAGAGGAATTGAATGAAGGATGTCTGAGATTTATGTGGATATAGATTTCCTTGCATGCTAAGAAAGACTGTGTGGCACACTTGTTACCAATAGATTTTTATACTTCTTACCTCTTGTCTTTCAGTCAGCGCTTGTATTTTTTCTTGATTACTTGTGGAAACACTTTAAAATTTAAAAAGAAAATAAATCTCTATAAAACATACAGTTCTTAGATGCAGGATTCATATAAAAATAAATAATGCAATAAAAATAGATAAATAGGAGACTGTCATTATTTTGAACACAGTTTCATGGTTGTTTCTGGATAGAGTTGAATAAAGCACCAAAAATATCATTTTGTTAAACTGCTTCTTCCATCTAGTGGCAAAAAGCAGTAAGAAACAATGTCCTAGAAAAATACAATGATTAAATGTTTCTAAATGTAATTGCAAAGAGACGTGAGAGTCTGGCATCTAAGGTTTAGTTTATAAGTATATAATAATTATTTTAAATATAATTTCAGCAAATAAGCAGTGTTTCATTGAAAGAGGTGTCAAAGTTACTGAAATTCATATATATATATATATATTTGTATGTTTTAGCAAATATACATATACACAGGTATATATCACCACACACTAAATTGGGATGGATTTGTTATGGTATACATAGTTATATATCTATACCAAATTGTTGGATAACTATTTTGAATTCTATTCCACCCTCAGCTATATGACATATGGCTGCTGTGCCATTACCGATTTCAAGTGCTATAATTGAGAGCCACTGAAATTGACCTATCCGATTGGAATTACCAGCTAAAATATTTTTGCAATAATGGGCAGTGAAATGCTTCATGACCTGAGGCACTGGGTCAGTTAAAGGGAAGTAAAGGCCAAAACTTAAAGGAGGCAGAATCTACTCCTCCACATTGTTAGAGCTACTTCAAAGACATTAACGCAAATAAATAAATAAGTAGGCAATGCACAGCATAATTGTGCATGCTCGGCACTCGCAAAACCCACTGGCTTATCCCTAATACATGAAGTTAGACTGTCCTTCTAACATTTTCTGTTAGCCTCACTGCAGATGTAATTAATGTTTCAGAAGTTAAATGTGAGATATACAGAAATGGAAAGTTCTCAAAGACAGCAAGTGTTTCACCTTACCTTATTTAAGTGAAGCGATAAACAGTGTTTAATGGTAATCTAAGACCTATCAAAGCTATTAAATATGTTAAGACTATAGGGTAAATGTAAAGTATAAACTCATCATGAATATTTAAAAATCCATATTTTTTATAAAAAGAAGATAAAACTTTTGTTTGCTCCCGAATTTTCAAGAAGGGAAAAACCCTGCCTTGACTCCAAAGCAAATTTGAGTCTAACAGAATTGGCTATCGGCTTCTCTCCTCCCCATAGCCACTCACCTGTTTCAAATGGGAGCAGGTTAAGTTTTTACCTTCTGGAGTGTTTGCTTGTGGGGTTATGGGGGGTGGCATAAAAAGGAGAGTGAGGTAAAGATAATGATTACATCTGGTAGCCCCATCTGGGGATACAGGGAGGCAGAAGGTTGATTCCATGCTCCTAGTATTCTTGGCACCAATTTCCCAGGATCAGGCCAAGGAAATGCACCAACTAACTGGGAAATTACTAAAACCACTGCCATTGTTTAGACGTCCCGCAACCACAGGACCCAGAAGCCTCCCCTGCAACAATTAAATTGGCACAAACACCGTTACCATAGGGCACCAGGAAGGGGATAGGATATGGTGATTCAACAAGACTACTGGCACCTGTGGCAGCACCTGAAAATGGTCATTTCATTTCATTTACAATTGTATATCCCTACATTATATGCTTTTGAATTGTGTGGATCCTTCTTAAGGTATTATGCTCTGGTTTTATTAAAACTTGAGACCTTGGCATTTAAAATTTTCCTTCACAATAAACAAGTTCAGTCCCTGGGAAGCCAATTTCAGGAAAACTAGATAGAAAATTACTGACACCAACATTTTACCCTTTACATTTTTGGAGCCAACCTTACATCAAGGGAGAAGAAGAGAGGTTATATGGTAATAGTTATACGAGTGACCACTGGAATATACTTTTCTGAGTTTAACTTCCAGCTGTCATTAATCAGCTCTGTGACTCTGGGTAAGTTACTTAACTTCTTTGAACTTCAGTTTCCTCATCTATAAAATAAGGATAATGATAATATCCTCCTGATAAAGTTGTTTTGAGGAAATAAATAAGAAAATTCATATAAAGTACATGGGAAATAAATACTCAATACTCAATAAATAAGAAATATTATTTACTGGGGACCTAATATATACCAAGCATTTTGTAGTACATTATTCTGCATAGTGAATTGAATAAATCATAAGATTTATTCAACATGTGTTTGGAAATTAATTTAAAAGTTATCCCTTTAGTGTAAATATTGTCTCATCACAGTGTACTTTTGTTAATTGTTGTTGTTGTTATGTGCCGTTGAGTCGGACCCGACTCACAGCGACCCCTTCTTGGGTTTCTGAGACAGTATCACTACGGAAGTAGATTGCCCCATCTTCCTTCCAAGGAGTCCAAGGAGTGGCTGGTGGGTTTGAACTGCCAGCCTTCCGGTTAGCAGTCAAGTGCCTTAGGCACTACACTACCAGAGCTCCCTACTTTTGTTAATAGTCATGGTGATTTTTGTAAATAATTTTCAAGGCTGTCTTCAAATCTTTGTGTAGTGAATAGACCATTACAATTAGGCTAATATTTGTATTTGAAATTTTTGGAAGTTTCTTAGCAAATCTTATCTGCAAAGTTTAAGATGAATGCAAGGAAACTAAAAAATTACATAATTTTAAAAAGAAAGTGTAGATGAGTAAATTAAAAGGAAAAAAATTATGCTAAATGGCAAAGAAAAATAGGAAATAAAATGTTCACCAAAAACTTAAAACTTTTCACCACTGATGAATAAAAGCTATCATCAATTTCTCAAAATATTATAGTCTATGTTTGTATAGGAGCCGCGGTGGTGTAGTGGATAAAGCACTGGGCTACAAACCAAAAGACTGTCATTTCAAACTAACCAGCCACTCTGTAGGAGAAATCTAAGGCTTCCACAAAGATGGAACCCTGTGGCGCAGTTCTCTGTCCTGTAGGGTTCCAATGAGTCAAGATCAACTTGATGGCAGTGGGTTAGGTTTGGTAGGTTTGGTATATTTCGTATGAAGTCATGAGCCCACATAAAATAATCAACTTTCCTGTCAGTTTAAGTCAGGCTGTAATATGTTAATTTTTTATAGAAATATATAAAACAGAGGCATATTCTAATACTTGCATAGAGTGCATGTAATACTAAACCTTTATAGGAGCTCTGGTAGTGTAGTTCCTAAGACATTTGACTGCTAACCAGAAGAAAAGTTGAGCAATCTGCTTCCTTAGTGATACTGCCTCAGAAGCCCAAGGAGGGGTTGCTATGAGTTGGGTCCAACTCGACGGCACATAACAACAACAACAACATTCAAAGTTTGAAATTGTGTTTTTTCTAAGTAAGGAGAAAGAGAAGGAAAGAAAAAAGGAACATTTTTTCACATTTTGGTCACAAATACATCAGAAATACAATGCCCAGTCACTTTTGTTTACTCTTCCTAAGCCAACTCTAATTAAAAGTTGCTCATCTTTAACATGAATGCTAGCATTCAGGCAAAATATTTTGAAAGGACTTCCAAGACCACAGAAAATACCAGACAACTTTAAAATATTTCAGGTCCATAAATGAAAGCATGTAGCACATGCTTGGTTATTGTTTCTGAGTCTATACTTGGTTTTAAGTAAAATCAGGAGTTATCGCTATGTCCCCATTTGACTCTCAAGTTACTAGGCTTTAATGCAAAATTTATTTCCAGAACCTCTCTGCTTCATCCACATAAATCTCTACATCCCATGAATCATGTTGCATGCTGGATAGTCTTATTAATTTCAAATTGTTCTGCTAACATTTGACTAGCTAAAGGGCCTCTGGTAACCAGCTTTCCTTCTTATCTTTTAAAGTGCAATTCTTTTGCAAGGTTTTTACATGTGCTCTTGAAAAAAAGTTACCCCACCTCAACAATTATTTAAATGTAATAATTTCATAGTAAAACCCCAGTTAATTTATCATTAACAAATTAGAAGCATTTATTTACTGGCATAACAAGTATATTCCGTGTCTCTATAATGTCTGTTAGAAAATTTACTACGCTAATTTTACTATAAGGAGCTCTGGTAGCATAGTGCCTAAGGCACTTGACTGCTCACCAGAAGGCTGACGGTTCAAACCCACCAGCCACTCCTCGGAAGGAAGGTTGGGCAATCCTACTTCCGTAGTGATACTGCCTCGGAAACCCAAGGAGGGGTCGCTATGAGTCGGGGCCGACTCGACGGCAAACAACAACAACAACAATTTTACTATAAACACATGGTAAAAAAAGAAAGACAATTCTCAAGCAGAATTTTCATAAGATAGGAAGAACTGTGAGCCACACTAAAAAACAGTCACTTCCTAACAAAATTGAAAAAAGACAAAAATGAGTCAAGTACCTCTTTGATGATGAGTAGAATAGAGGATCTCCATAGCACACTGAAGTAAGAGTTAGAATCAGGATTGCCTTCATTTTTAAAAGCTAAAATAAAAATAGATTTTTACATTACTTATATAATATAAATGATCTTATCAAGACTAAGGCTTTAAGTTTCATTGTTTACTGGAAAGTTGATGATTAATATTATTTTCTGTCCTTGATTTTGTTCATTTATTAATAGTAATGACAGATTCCTGTGACAAATATGTTCCATAACAAGTTGGCAAGACCAATGTCATATAACCTATCTCTAAGAGGGCTTATTTTCAATAGAAGCAATATTTACTTCTTTTAAAGTTATTTGTTCTTTAAAAATGTCATGACAACATTATGAATGGAGGGAAATTTTTTGTTTATCTTCCCAATATTTGCTTAAGTCTAGAGAAAGCATTTTCAAGGACTCTTAACTTGTAATCAGGCTGTAGTCATCAATAACACATTTGTTCTATCTCCTGCACTAAAATTAGAAACAAATTTTCATTATTTAAATTATTTTTAGTCATTCAAAATTATTTCTAGTGTCTATTTGGTGCAAAGCATCAGCTTGTTCTGTAGCAGAAGAAAGGAA